TCTCTCTCTCTCTCTCTCTCTCTCTCTCTCTCTCTCTCTCGCTCCCTCTATCGAGAATCATTCACACACAGAGAACATTGTGTCGAGGGGGCTCCGGTGCGTGTCAGCTGAGCAGCTGAGAGAGCGAGAGAGAGAGAGAGAGAGAGAGAGAGAGAGAGAGAGAGAGAGAGAGAGAGAGATCCTCCTTGGCACACACCCGTCAGTGTGGCAGTGTTATTTTGACTGACTAGCGGACTGACGGGGATTCTGGAGGAGACACACAGGAAAGGGACGGCACACTCTCCGGTTCTTTTTTCGTTTCTGTCATCGCATAGTCACGACAGATGTTTTTCTAGCCGCGCCGCCTGCATCCACCCCAGACATCGGATTTTGCTTAATTTCTCCTCTCCTTGATTGGCTGAACCGGGACTGAACCCAGCCAACCTGGGCCGGGCAGTGGGGGCTGTTCAGCGAGCCTTATAGCTGAAGTTGGCACCCGAGATGAGCGCCTGGAGACACGGGAGCGGGGCTCTCTCTTCACCGGGCAGAGGGTCTGGGTCGTGGCGGTGCTGGTGGTGGTGGGTTGGGGTTATCGGGGTGTCAGTGAGCTCTGGAGATCCGTGGCTGTCCGCGGAGGCATGCCCGCCCTCTTGTTCTTGCAGCACCACCAGGATCTCCTGCGTGGATCCGAAGCGGGGTATCAATGCTTTCCCCGTCCTGCAGAGCGAGGCAGAGATGGAGAACATCACCGACATGTGAGTGTGTCTCTCTCATAAGCGTTAGATTTAGAAGGGACATGTCGGATTCATAAGTGGTCCTTTTCATATTCATCCCGCTTTTATCAATTTTGGCTGTATTTTCCAACACTTTCCAAATAAAGGAATGCCATGTCCTCTAACCATCATAGTTGTGTCTGGAGCTGACTGACACGGTCCACAAGGGAAGAGCCAGAACCGGTCCAGATTTTTTTTTTTTGCACTTAATCTTAATCTACTCGAATTTACAGATTTACCAGTTTGGATATAAATCTAAGACATATTCATTTATTCGGCACGGGTTCGGCTGAGACACGCATCATGTGTAACCTACATTGCATAACAGACTCATTGCCATCATATCATCATATCATCATATCATACCTGTCATCGCTGGCGTGGAATTAGCTCAAAAAAAAAAAAAAAAAAGCAGTTGAGGTTTATAGACTTTATCTTAGACAAAGCCCTATCTGTGTGGGGACGCGTGCATGTGCCTACGTGTGTGTGTATAACGAGTCACGCACACAAGACACCACCGTCCAAATATTTGTACAGACATTTCCCAAGATGGCTTATGAGTGTATTTAAATGAACCACAGAAGCTGAGAAAAATCGATGTTCAAGAAAACAAAAAAAACGGAAACATTTTTCTAGTCGAGTCAACATTTGGCTTGTATTTGAAGACTGGACCCTCCTCCTCGGAACGCTGGCTGATAATACATGCAGCATCTCAGTGTGCATTTGAAATGTATAGGCTACTGTACCCTCTTTTCATAAAACGTCATAGAAATAAATCCAGAATTTATATCCGAGAGCAATTAAAAGAGGAGATTGAAATATTGAATTGCAGCAATATATTTCTTGGCAACAATAAACGGCCTTGTTGATAACGACTTGTCAGAGATGAACTTGGGAGAAGCCTTGGGCGATGTTTCAATGAGCCAGCAGTCTGGTGAATTCATTCATCTAGTGCTTGTCTAATGTAAACAGACAAATTACTGATGCCCATCTAAATCCAAAACGACCTTGCCAAAAAACAAAACAAAACATGGAAATATAAGTTATCGCATTCTCTGCCTGTGTTAATTGGTTATATACATCCTTATTTTGTAACATCTGCCCACACAGAATACAATTGGCTTTCAATGTCAGTGTGAATTCCTAAATGGATGTAAAAACTCACACACAGCGGTTTGTGTTGATGTGTCATCTCTGTCTTGTATGGACGTGTTTGGTATAAAAGGTGAGTCAAACAAATCATAATCCCATCTGCCAAAATCCTTCAGTATAGACACTCATTAGGAGGTGCTGAATGATATAGATCAATATTCACTCTTTTTTGGGAGGGGTGTTGGCTCTTTCATAACTATTAACACAATACAAACAACAAAGGAAGTTGTTTCATAGATAATCCTGCCTTTAATAATGAGGAAATGTATCACAACACTCATCCACAGGTAGTTCAATAAGTGCAGATGGACACCTAGTGTAAAAACTCAACTCATAACTCCTTCCTGCATACTAAGACAAACATGAAGTGAATTGTACATCAAACCTGATGAAAAACCAGTGATGGATAAACAGTATGCGCATGCTCTTTGTAGAGAGTGCTGCAGGATTGAGTCCTAAAACCCAGAAATGAGTTAGCAATTTTGCACTTCCGGTATCCACGTCTGGAAGTCAATGGGTTTTTTGAATGGGCTTTTGGTTCGATGCCTGAAATAAGATCCGTGGTTAACTAAAGCTTCAGAGATTTTATTTTGTTCTACGATATAAAATACATCTGTATACCCCTCTCCTGGATTTTTAAGCTTTTATTTGTCTTAAAATAGGCGGTTGCTAACAAGTGGCTAAATGACAAAATGCCATCAAGAAAAATAGTCCGCCTTCACAGCCTTGTTGTTTATACATGCGCTCATGCGACAGTGATATAGTTCGTACATAGACTAATGCTAGCTATTTACTTCTGGCGATTGCATTTTCCCGCGACATAAATCATTAAATTGGGGCTCATTTGTGAAGATTATCTCGCTGAACAAAACATGCAAGTATCATATACTTGTGTCCAAAAAAAAAAAAATGGAAAAATCCCATTGGCTTTTTTTCGAGGGAACCAGTGCGATGCTAACTTCCGTGGTTTGCCTACAAAAATACGCCCTCCCTACAGCACTCTATTTGGGATTGGCATTATTATTCAGCAGTCTTACTTGAACTGGAAGATTGCCTGTCTGCCTTTGACTTTATGGCTGATTTAGAGATACTTTGCTGCTACTGTTGAAGCTGTAATTGGCGATTTATTGTAGATTACAAATACATTTTGTGCCTGACAAACATTTAGTCAGAATTTAATTTAGTTGTTATAGTAAGGCAATTCGACTCTTCCGTGAAAGTAATTTTATCCAAGAGTGTGTTGAAGATGCTCCTTTTCAAAGAATGTGTTTAATTCATCAGTGTGCACTGTAAAAATGCTGACATTCTGGTCAGCTTCTTCAATTATTGAAGGCACATATCAAATGTTATCACTATTTTTTCAACTGCCTTTTTTCCAGGCTTTTTTTTTTTTTACATTATGTGATAGTGACGGCGGAGGTTTGACAGGAAATGAGGGGAGACAGAGAGGAGAGGTGACGAGCATTAAAAGTCTCCTGCCAGACTCGAAGCGGGGACGTTGTGATTACATGGTGTGTGGTGTGGTACAGCATCTTGGAGCCCAATAGGCCACCAGGACACCCCTATAAAATGTTTTAGGGTTAGGTGTTGTGTTTTCAATTCTCATGTATCCATCGTCATGCAGTGACAAAAATGTAATTATTTTAGTAATAATTTAGAGTAGGGGACTATATATATTGTATAAAATTGTGTTTTATATTAAATGGGCCTAGTACAGTGTATACCTCTTTATTGTGCATTCAATACTAAGCTATTCAAATAATACACAGGTTCATATATTCATGTTTTTATTTTAAACATGTGCAAGGTACAGTGAGTAGGGTGGCCGTGCCACTGCCATTTATAAACATAGCATGTCAGCTGATACCATTGCCAATATCAACATTGTCTGTCAATTGCATGATCATCATGCACACAAGCTATTCAAATTGATGTTTTCATTTTAAACATAAATATGGAAACGAAAATGAGTGATGGCCTATTAGTGCCACTGCCATGCATAAAGATACCTGTTATCTTGCATACAATACTGAACTATTAAAATAATGGACAAATTCATGTTTAGAGAAAAAAAAAATTACATTTAAAAAAAAAAAAATGTAATTGTCTTATCAACCAAAAATTTCGCGGGCCCCTGCAGTACCTCCGCGGACCCCCTGTTGAAGACCTCTGATTTAGAGACTTGGGAGAGGTAAAATACAGCATATCGTATCAAATAATTATCAACAAAAACAAATCTTAGACTGAAGGCCCTTCACTACCGCCAGGTAATGATCTTGGAAATCAATGCATCTAATTAGAGATGTTTTTTTGTTCCCAGTTTGACCACATGAAAAACATTATTCAATGACCTTGTGATTTAGCTAAACAATGCATGCAACAGTGAGACTGAAGGTTTTTCTGATGTGACGGTAGCATGTTCCCTCTGTAGGGGACATTACCCTGGTTTTCTTTATCTCTAAATGTCCTCAGACATGTGGACCCAGAGCTGTGACATTTGAAAAGTACACATATTGTTTTTCAGAATCCGTTCTCACAGTTTTACTCATTCACACGAGGGAGTTGCCCACAATCATCTTCTGTTTGCCCTTGAACGGGTCAAGTGCCTTCCTCCAGTGCAGCTGAGGGAAAAAGGGAGGAGAGTTGTGCCTGTTTCTCAACCTTTACAAACTACCAGTTCCCCTCGTGTGCCATTGATCAGCCGCAGTTCATTTTTTAACTTTGAACTCCAATTATATGGGCTTGTTATGTCCTTTTGTCTTGTTGAAATGCTCCTGTTTATGCCTCCCTCCGTTAACAAATGAGCCTGCTGACACACACTTGTATTCCCTGACAGTTACATCGCCAACCAGGGCAGCTTCTCCTCCATCAACGACAAAGACCTGCACTACTACAAGAATCTCAGGAACCTGTAAGTTTCTTTATGGCTTATAGTAACAAGACAAACACTTTGGCCCAAAGCAAATATACATTGTCAATAAGCACATTTGCTAATAAATGATTACTCACTGCGTTTTTATGTTACATATTTTGATATTCTGTGGCTGTCATCACACATCACATGTTCCTGTTATACACAATCTTAGGGCCCAATATAAATGCAGCATTTTAGGGCAGAAAGAAGAACAATTTCCCTACATTTGACTTATTTGGCTTGTTATAATCCTTTGCCTTTACTGATGATTCTCCTGCTGTGGTTAAGGCAGTCTGTTTGGTTAATCACATGATTTTGTATTTACTGTGTTTTGCTACGCATCTGTGTCTCATTTTATTTCTTAATCTAAAAAATTGAATTGTCTACCAAGCAGCACTTTCTTACAGTATACCCTGTTAAGTGGACACTACCTAATTTCCCCAGCCAATATTCCATTTGGTAGACCGATTAGTAAGCAAGTTATTGCAAGTGTATGCTTTTAATTGTGGTCAGACCCAGTGGGAACAGAACGAGCTCTGTGTTTGAGCCACAAACGCAGACAACAGTCCCATACAGAAATACTTTACACACAGTCACACGCTGTCTTGATACAAATAAGATACTCTTGATGCTTTGACAGTAACATATTGGTGTGTCATGTGTTAAAAATGTTGAAATATAAATCTGTGCTAATGTCAGATGAGATGAATCAGTTACAAAACATCTGCCAGACCAACTCTTTCATATCAGATGGTGATGTCTGCATCTGGTTTTACCAGTGCTGAGTAATGGACAGTGTGTAGGAATATTGAAGGCACCTGACTCTTGTAGAAAGAAGCTTTCTATTGAGACATCTGGTAAATTTACAAATGTGCAGGCGTTGGCGTTGCACTGTGGCAGACTTGTGAATGAGCCCTGGATTAGTGGGGTGAAATCATTGTTTTGTATGATTCATTCATTTTTGTATTTCCCAAAACAAATTACAGTGTTGTATTCATAATGCTTAAATTGTTCCTGAAAGATGATCTGTTGATGTTTGGTACAAACCTCAATTTAGTATTACTTTTACGTTCGGGTTCCGGCAGGTTCACTGGAGAGATAACACTTTGTTTGTTATGTTAAATATGTTCATCTGTGAAAAATGTTTCACCAATGCAGCAGTATTTCATGGTGTCTCATAAGTCCATGTGACACAAATAATAAATGAATCACAAATGTATCCATAAGATGTACATTATCTTCAGATGGAGAGTTTTTGTTGGCATCATTAGTCTTAAGGTCAGCTAACCAAATCGACTGATAATTGGTTTATTTCAATGTGAACAAAAAACTCTTTTTGTCTCTTTCACAGTTATAACCACACACCATTGACCTACACTTATATAACGATGCTAATATCTGCCGATGTCGGTATTCAGATGCTACATTTAGGATTAGTGATAAGGCAATAATAAGAGCAGAATTTGGGTTTCCTGTGTGTATCCTACTGCATGACCTGTTAGAAAATCCACTGTTCTAAATTGATTGGGAACCTGAAATCCTGTTTTCGCTGTTGCTGATGTTGCAGTTCTTATTAATAATCGTTTTATTCATGACGGTGACGGAAATGACGCTGTTGTATTTGTTTTTGTGTCAGAACGGTGACCAACAGCAGGCTAACATACGTATCGAAGCTGGCCTTTCAAAACAACATCAAGATACAGTACCTGTGAGTTCATGCTTTCTATTGACTTGACAGCCACAGTGCAGATTTATTCATCACTTTTAGTGAGTGAGTTGCTTGACTTTGTTGAAGACGAACCTGTTAAAAATGTCTCATCTTTTAAAATGTACAGCTATATTTCAATTTCATTAATTTGTCGGATTATTCATTGTTGAAAATGATGAACAGGAAATGTATATCCAAAGGTGAAAATGTATCTGTGATATTATCAAAAGAAAGTTAAACAGGAAGAAAAGAAACAAACTGTGACAGGCTCAGGTTCCGACTGAACAGGATTTATAAACGATCAACATGATTAAAGTTTGGTACCTATTATATTGATCAAATGCACCAATTAATTTTAATGACAAAAATAATTCAGGATCATTGGTGCATGTAAAATGAGTTGTTAGTTTCTGAAACAGCAATCTAATATTTTGATGTGGTTCTACAAACGCAAATCTCCTTCCCTGATGTTCGACTTAATTTCCAGGAATCTGAAAGATAACAACCTGTCATCGCTGTCCTGGAGGATATTCAAACACCTCAACATGTCTTATCTGTGAGTTCAGTTCAGCCTTCTCTATCAGTCTGTCCATCTCTGTGTCTGTTTGTCAGTTGATCGGTTCCTGGCTCTCTTTCTGTGGTTTACCTCCCATTTATCATCACAGTCTGTAGATAAACTATGGGATCTGTGATGTCACCTACTGTATATATATCTGATGGGATACTGCTGCCTGCAATCTTGAGATTTCCTGGAGCCAGACAAATATTATTATCATTATTTAGTTTTAGATGGCAACAGGGTGAAGACTGAGATTAGCTGAAGTGGGCAAGATGCAATTAACCCCCACAGCGTTGTAAAGGTGTGATTGGCTATGACACCTTTACACAAACAATATTTAATGTTATTCAGTGAGCTTTAGACGTGCTTGTTGGTGGATTCTGTTTTGTTTGTTCGTTGTTCTTTTAACAGAGCCAACTATTTCACCCGGTTTCCAGTATTTACGCAAAGCTGAGCTAACTTGCTGCTGTTGGAAGCTTCATATCTAACAAACAGACATAAGCTATATGTTTATTGCAGAAAATATGCACATTTCTCGAATTGTTGAGCTATTCCTTTAAGTCACTTTGACACTAGCACAATTCAATTGAGCTATTGCTTTGTCATTTCAAATTTACTACTCGCTGTTCTCGACGATTCTTGACTTTGTGTGTGTGTGTGTGTGTGTGTGTGTAGGATCCTGACAGGGAACCCTCTGCATTGCTCTTGTGAGAACATGTGGATCAAGCTGTGGTTGGGAGAGGAAGCAGACACTCAGGAGCTGCGCTGCATTGAGGATGGAGGAAGACGCAAGCTGCTGTCCAGACTGATACTACCTAACTGTGGTGAGGACACACACACACACACACGCACACACACACACACTGAGTAACAAGCTGGAAAAGACATTCACAGTCTGTAGCAGAGTGCAAAATGTTGAAGTACCTGGAGGAAAGCAGTAATCCTAATGGTTTCCTGTAGAAGGATTTTCCCAAATCTTTATTTTGATTATGCATTCTCTCATATGTTTTGCATGTGTCTGGCACATCTGTTTTCATGTATGTGTCTGCATAAACGTGTTTGTGTTTAAGTGCAGGATATATACTGTTTAGAACTTGTTCTTGCAGGTGTGCTAAGTGTTTGGTTGGTTCTCTCAGGAGGAGTGTGGGGAATGAACGACTGGAAAAAGTTTGTTGTTACTGCAAAACCTATGAGAATAGCTGTGAAAGAATAAAATCCATGCAATAACTACAGCCACGGCAGTAATCAGCACCAGCTGGTATATGTCAACTTCAACAGGCTACAGTGAGGATGCTGCACACACTGTATTTCACTTACGCAGTACTCTGCTTAGCCTGTATATTGTAATTTCTCTCGACACCGCACAGTGCAACGAGCTACAATGTCTTACACATGAGCAAGCAAACAAATGTCCAAATGAACGCTTGCATGCACACACACTTCATAGAGCGCTGCTTTTATAGAGGGCTTAAAAATGTAGTTGGGTTTCTGCGAGGTGTCGTTAAAAGGCCGCCGACACTAAACAGGCTGACGTTATCTGTGTGCTGTAGGGAGTTTTCTCATATGATGTATAGATTAGCCGACAGTTGGACGAGCGCGATATATGTGACCTACAGAGTAGTGTTTGTTTGCGCTGTGTGAGAGGTTATGTCATCTTCTAGACTATAGTTACAGTCATAACCAGACATCATTTGCTCGTAGATGTAGAAAGGTCACTGTACAGAACATTAAAGAAGCAGGAAGATGTTTTATCGAGAGGGAACGTTTGTGTGAACCAACACACAGACGCTGAGTGGAGAAATATCGCTGAATGTATGACAATAAAATGAAGTGTTATAAAGACCATCTGCACTGTGTCCTATGGCACCAGGGACCTGCAGCAGATTTAATTTCCTTTTTCTCTGAATCATCATGTTTCGGTCATTAGTGAAGGAATTCTTTCTGGACCCAAGGAAAGCTGCAATACTCAACTGCAACAGCAATAATCACCTTTTTACGAGCAATAAAAGACATTTCCTTCAGATTCAATTGCGAAAACTTAATGAGAATATGTTGCATCTTTGTTTAAGTTGCAAATAAACAATATTTATTATTCCCTTAAGGAATAATGTGTTTACAAACCAGAAAATTCTATTTCCAGTAGCAGTGCATACAGTTATTTACAATGTCAAGTTAAGCAGCACGCTTACCGTCACTCCCAGACAGACTTCCACAGACCACAATCCTTTTATGTACTTGCTTATGGGAGTGTTTATCAAACTTGACTGTATAAATGTCAGCAGTAAATTGATGCTTTAGTCTTCCTCCCTTAGTTTGTCATGAATCTCTCTATTTTGGACTCAGATTTCACCTTCAGCCATCAGACTGTCCAAAACAAAGGTCCAAAACAAACAGTGTCATTTAGTAATAATTTAGAGCTTGAGCAAGCCAATGAAACGCAGATAGTTCCAGCCTTCGGGGCAATAAGTTCAGTCAGATCCCGTATGTTACTGTAAAGCGAGAATATAAAAGATTTTAATTTAGAAAACATACAATAAGTAATAAGTCAGAAAAGCTTAATAGGCATCAGTTGAAATGCAATCATCAAATGCTCTCTCTAATAACAACATGGATCTGAAAGTATTTTTGTCATCTGGTCAAAAATAGCTCATAGCATAGGACACAAGCAATAAGTTAGCATGCAGGCAGCTAACAATGTCATTGATAACTCCTATTGATCCGTCCCCTCTGCCTCCCTTCCATTAGTGAAGGTTATTTTTGGCATTAGCAGTTACAGCAGGGTCCCTGGAGAGGTGGGCAGGGGACCCCCTGGCAGTGTGACATATGAGGAGGAGGACCTGGTGGTGCAGGGGTGTCAGATGATGCCCCAGGGCTAACAGTGATGCACCAAAAGTCCCAACTGCTGCCCTTTTTCTCCCTATCTCCTGCCTCCCCCTCTCTCAGGCTGTCTTTCCTCCTCTTTATTACTCATTTTCCATCTCTCGGTCAGTGGCATGTATGACTGTCTGTCCCTCTGTCTGTCTGAACATTTCTGAATGACATATGAGGAAGGCACAAAGCAGAGGAAGTGCCCAACGATGCCCTCGGGCTGACACTGATCTCTCAGGCCACCCGCATATGTCTCTCTGCCTGTTTCTCTCTGTGGTGTTCACTGCTGGAGCTCCACTCTGAAAGGCTGGCAAACACAGGCTGTTCCCACTGCTGACCCAAACAAAACTTCACTATTACCGCAGTCCAATGCTACAGTAGGTGGACTGTTTGGGGTTCAAACAGCTGCAGGTAGTATATACACTCCCAGTCAGTTCTTTGTTGATACAATGATTAAAACAATAAATTAAAAAAACATTAATGTCAACGTTAATGTCAAGAAATGTAAGCTTTTTTTCTACCATCATACTCATTACACTTTACACGTATGTGGCTTAATCTGATTTTTGTTAAATGATCTAAAGATATATGAAAGCTTTATTTGAAACCAGTCGTTCAGAGGAAATGTGCTGTGGAAATGACAGCAGATGGATTACCAGACCTCTGCTGGTCACATCACAGCACTGGTGCACTCTGTCTTCATCTGTCTCCCTCCCTCTCTGTCTTTCTGTCTATTTGTTTGGCTGGAATGACTGTCTATCACGTTTCATGTCCCTTTCTCATCCTTTTTTCTTTTGATTATTCTTGAAGATATTTCCTCTGCTCTCATGCTTCCTTCTCTTACTTCCGCCTCCTTTTCTTATGCATTGATATACTGTACAGTGTATCTAGTATACTTGCAAATCTGTCCATGTGTCAAACATGCTGTATCTCTCTGCTCCTTCCTTTTGTGTAGTGTGCTCTTACAGCTGCATATATGAAACACAAATGCAGGCCACAGACTCGAGCTGTAATATGCCAGTAAAGTCCGACCAAAAAGGCCAGATGGCTTCTGTCTGTGGGCAGCAGATGCTTTCACATTTCCTATAGGTCAATTTCCTATAGGACTCACCTACTTATTAGATAACAAGGAATTTAACAACAAGACACAAAAGCTGTATAACTAAACCTTTAATCAACACAGAAGGTAAGCAGCACAATGGAAATCGGCACAGTGCAGATTGACAGAAACAAATTAAGATGGTATTCATGTCTGGCAGTCCTGATGTTTTCTGGGGACTTGTAAAAGGTAATTGACATGACGTTTAGTTTCTGCAGTTCCTTTTAGGCCATGCTGCTGTCATTTAGCAGTGAGGTTTTGCAAAGAGAAGGATTCAGGAGGGTGTAAAACAGACAACAGCTTCAAAAACAGAAGAGCATAGCTGGTCAAAACCATTCAGTAAATCATCTCTCTGGGAAAGGGAAGAAAGTAATTGCAAAGAATTTGAAAGATGTGTACACAAGTTGATGTGTAAAGATGGAATACTGTGCCCTTTTATTTTATTGATTCAACAGTGGTCCTTCATATGACAAGAATGATGCACAGCTGAGCCAGCTCAGCATCATGAGGAATTATGTCAACGTAAGACGGTTATGCGCCTCAAGATTTACGCTCAATGTAAACGCAGGAAGCAGTCTGTCCATTAGAGGTGGAGTGAAAGGGTGTCGAGGTTGCGGTGATGGATAGGCATATCTGCCCTTCATGCAGGAGACCAAAGTTTCACTTTTTTATTGACGTAACCAGGTTTTTTATTAACCTAAACATCACCGTATACTGACCCTTAATTAATTTGCCTTAAAAACTATATTTCCCAACCCTAACCACAATAGTTGCCAAGTTGTGCTATAAGTGAGAATTAAAAAAATGATGGAACTGGACATAAAAAAACAGTAAAAGACAGACACAGACAAGGCAGGTGTTGACGGAGTTTAAGGGAAATTTAAACTTTAAAATGATCTGAAGTCACACAGTCAACAGGTGTCAGTTTTTGGGTTTCAAACCTGCTCAGCCAGTCCTGACTCTCATTCTCCTTCCTATTTCCCTGCCGTCTTTGAACAGAAATCACTTTGTGAATGCCTCTCATGAAATGAACAGTGAAATTCAGCACATGCTTCTTAACCATTTACTGTCTAAACTAATTATAATTATGAATTAAATATTCAATTCTTATTGATGTGCGTTATAATGGCAAACTCACACGTGTGCGAGCTGCAGCAGTTCAGCGGTGTGATCCAGGCCAAAGATCTCTCTCTCTCTCTCTCTCTCTCTCTCTCTCTCTCTCTCTCTCTCT